TGGTGCTTTGATCGACTTCTACAAAGTTTTAAAAAATCGTTCTACTTCTCCATTGGCTCTAGGCGATGTTTCAGTCCTAGTATCGAAGAAAATTTCCCAAATTCCTTACCGTTGAATGGTGGGCCGGGAGTGCCAAACATCGCTAATAAGTAGTTGAGCTTTGGTATGGCAGCAGTTGACAGTATTGGCTCTACAAAGGGATATCGTGAAAAGTCGTTAGTTAATGAGTAGAAGTAGCGTTTCGCCTTTTGTGAATGCAAAATCTATGCTAACTTTGTCGAATGGATTGTCTGGTAGGATAGACATTTGTAACGGTTCTCTGGTGTAAACTGGGGTTACTATCTGGTAGGGTAAGCATGACTTGATTTTGGTTTCTACCATTTTGTTCATATACGGGAACCATACTTTATCATGCCGAGATGAACTTATTACTATGCGATTTGATTTCAGTACTGTGATATCAGTACAGGTAAGCTCTTCCTTCACTTGTTCATAGCGAGATAGTTCAGATAGTGATACTTTTGGTGGAGCTTTGGGCCATTTACCTGATCTAATTGCAGACATAACAGCTTGTAGTGTCGGGTCATTGGAAGTCACGGTCTCAACTTCCTGCAGTGTGATTGCCTTTGGCACAGAATTTTTTGTCACATACGAGATATACTCTTTTGATGTATCAGTAAAATCACAATCAACTGGATGTCTGGAAGCATAGTCTGCTGGGTTTGATGTGCCTGGTTGATATTCAACTATAAAGTTGTACTGTTGCAAGTCAATTAGCCATCGTTCTATTCGTGTGGTGGGTTTGTAAATTGGGTTGTTGAATAGTAATACTAACGGTTTACGACCCGTGACGATTTTAAACTTTGTTTCATAGAGGGATAAATGGAATCGTTTAATAGATCAATATATCGATAAGGGTCCTCGAACAATCTGCTTTCAGTAGTAGTTAGTGGATAGCTAGCGAAGTATAGCGATGTTACTTCTCCTGTTGTTTCTTCTCTCTGGGTTAAAGTTGTCTTAGTTGACAGAGCAGATTTAAGTGATTCAAACGAAGGCTGTTCTTTCCCAGTCCATTGCCATTTAACGTTACCACAGGTAAGCAATCAGAGTGGTCTGGTGATTATTTTGAAGTCTTCGATGATTCGATAGCAGAATGCAGCGGAGCTAAGTAAACTACGTACTTCAGTAGTGCTTCGACTTTCTTTGGGTCAGGTGAGATACCTTTTGCAGAGAAAAGAATAACGTACTAGAAGCTCGAAATATACATTTCGGTAGGTTGATTGTGAAGTGATTGTTGTTTAGTTGTCTAAATACTTGCTCTAGATGCTTGTCAAGATCTGTTTGATTGATGCCAGCAATGTAGATGTCATCACTTATATTTCTAGCATGAGGTATACCACAGATTGCATAACCGACTATCTTTTGAAATATTTCCGCAGCACATGATAGCCCAAAGTTGAGGCGTTTATATCGATAGAGTCCTATGTGTGTTGAGAATGTGGTCAGGTGTCTCGAGTCTGGATGTAGTGGAACTTGGTGATAGCCCTGATTGAGGTCAGTTTTACTGAAAACCGTACAGCCATTTAAATCTGGTATCATGTCATCAATGGTCGGGATTATATGGCGTTCGCGGATGATGGCCTTATTTACTGAGCGCATATCAACGTATAATCTAATCTCGTTCGGCCTGTTGGGTTTCGGTACTACAAAAACTGGGGAAACCCAGGGTGTTGGACTTTGTGCACGCTCAATGATGTTTTCTCTCTCTCAAGCTGATTTAGTTTTTCTTCAACTTGTTTTCTCACATGGAAAGGAATATGGCGGTGGGGTTGTGCCACTGGTTTTATGTTTTCATCAACATGTATGTGTACTGGTTCACACTTGCATTCACCCATACCTGTGGTTAGATTTGGAAAACTATCAAGCATATCAGGCGATGAGTCAGGTTTTTGACTGCATGGACTGTTTTGATGAATTTCAATCTCTGCTATGCTTTCCAGCTTAGTATAACACCTGAATCAATCATTATTTGTATCGGTATACCTAGTATGTCGACATTGAATGTAGGTTTATCAAACTGATTCTCTCACATCACCTCCAAATATATACTCAGTGTGGTCACTATTGCTGTTAACTTCACTGTCGTGGGTTAGATGAGTATTGTCCGATGAATTTTCCATCATTGACTGCTCTAGTATAGTGCTTACTTTTATCTCAGAAGCGTTTTTTGTTGTTGACTGCGACAAACCTTGGAGAAATGGTTGAGCTTATCACAATTATGGCAGCGTTTTCCTTTCGGGAATTTACCACCACATAAACCACATTGCTCTAAACTTCATATTCAGTCTGCCGTCATGTGATTTTGTAGCTTTGTAACTTACAACATTTGACTGATGTCTCTCAATTTCACTAGTTTGTTCATTAGCTGTTTCCATTGCTTTCGCAGTTTTCAATAAATCCGTTAAATCAAGGCTTTGGTCAATAGCCTTGCCTCTCAACCGTACTGATGTAGTGCCTTGAATTATTTGTCGTTTTATTTCCAAATTGACGTCATCAAACTCACATTTTCGGGCTAGTAGCTATAGATGTGTAAAAAATCAGAACCGTTTTCATTAGGTTTCTGTACTTCTTTTCTAAATACGTATACATGGTGGTCGACACATTTCTATGGCTCAAAGTGATCAGACAAAGACTTACTGCGATTTGATATGCGTCTGGTCCTCTGTTGGCTCCAGTAGACCAGCGTGTCAAACACATCACATGTTTTCTCACCAACATAGTGCAGTAACATTGCTTTTTTTTGAGCAGCAGCGGTTACATTCATTGCAGCAAACAGGTTGTTTAATCGCTTGATGTTTCTCAAGGCGGGTGGGGGTTTCTCGAAGTCGGAGATCAAATTCAGGGAAACTTGGTAGATTGATAGCCATATTTGTCAGCGTTGATACGATCGGTAAGGACAATGGCGTACAGTGACGTAGTGCCTATTGTCGGTAAATGTGAACTCAAACTGACAGCGTCCAACTCCGACAAATAATAGATGCAAATCGTTGCCAATGGTGGCTCGCTTACTTCCTTATTTCTTCCATCCCGTCCTCGTCGCCAATTATAACTCGAGAAACCCTTGTTGGGATAGACGTATATTTATTGGCAACAACTAATGGCGGTCATGCCGTTTAAGTATCCCATAATGCCATACAGTCATCACTATAGTAACATATCTAGTGATGTCATAGGTCATGCATAAATAATGATACAGGACATTACACCAACCACAAAAAGTTGATCTTTTCAAAGTTTCACGGGTCCGGACCTTTTTGTTTTGAGATGAAAATTTCCCTTAAATCTTTCGACTTGCATTGATCGTCTTACAGTTTGTTAAGAATACATTTCTATATGGTGGGAACATTAGAGACCGTCCGTTTTTCTCGACGTCTTTTGCGTGAAAACTAAAGAAGCGCACTTGACGTAACAGCGGTCTAGAGACGTGGCATTGTTATATGTAGAATACGTAATCTTAAAAAATTGAGTGCTTACTTTGTTTCAGATGTTTGTCTAGAACCAGTATATCTTCCAAATCCACTATCACTAGCTCCCCCGAAGGCGATACAGCGAAATTATCCGAATGTAGGTCGGTAAAAAGTATCGACCAATCAGGACTAAGCCTCTGAAGCCTGTCGACAACGTCAAACACGTCCAAAACCAGACGTGCGCGATCTACCCAAGGCGCATCGTAAAACTCGCGCAATGGAGTCCCAGCATGTTCAACAATAACAAGGCGGCCACACTCGCCAATGTATCTTGGGAAAGGCCAGGGTGAATCTGGAAATGAGGAAAAGAACTAAATGGGAATAAATAAACATCAAACAAATGTGAGTGCAGCGAAAACACTTCGCAAATTTAGCGGGGAATCTAGCCAAACTTTTTGTGAAATATGATCATCAAGAACATAAAAATATACTGGACAATATCTGAATTGGTGTAGAATAAATCCAAAACAACTAAACTGAATGACTCTATTTACGGACTCTGAATGATATGTACTATGTTTCCCGGTACCGTTGACGGGAGTGACGGAATACTATTTTAGGATCAAAATCCAGTCTCACGACAATAAGTTCGCGTCCACCATTTTCGTCTAAGGTCGATAGGCGATTTTTCATTTTTTTTTTTAATTTACTAGTAAAATTTTAATGAAGAATTGGCATTATACCAATAATATAATAGAGTATGATGAATTTCAATTTCATATTTTTATGGGTAATATTTACCTGTAGCAGAAGTCCTTCTGGGTGAATGACCAGTGACGTCATGAACTGCAAACGATTCGCCATTTCCGGTTCGCCAGAATGTATCTTCGAATATACTTTCCACATTTCATCAACCAATCGGAGTGACGCACACATTGTAAATGGTCTTATAGAAGATAAAAAACAACAAATATCTGCTGTTACGACGCAAATTTGTTATGCAACACAAAAAATAAGGCATTCTTTTTTACAAGAATGGTAAAAAATAATCATGGTTTATTTTAACCCTCGGTGGGGAATATTGTAAAATTTATCAGAAATTGTGATTACTTGGGTAAGAAGGAATGTTATCCATTCAATGAAAAATCACCAATGTTTTCAATAACGTTCTACGCAGAGAATACTTCAAGAGAATATACGCACAGATATTGTTGGTTCTGATCTAAAAGTATCACTCTTGTATTAAGCCGCGCCCTCTCGCAGAATCTAATGTCAACACGACGTATATGGATAAAAGCAACCATAACGCTCAAAACGATAACTGTGTTCATATGTGTAGTCAGTCGTCATTTTGATAAGAACAAATATCTAAACAAAATTATTGATGAACGATTTCGAGTTAACATATAAATATCAATGTTATTACTGTGGAATACTTTATTTTCACTTGGAATTTATTTTTGCTATTTTCGCTGAAGGAATGATTCCGTGAAAATAAAATCCAGCGAATATACTTTTTTTCCTATATTTCACATTAAACTCATCAAAAATCAGTGAAAATAAATTCCATACAAAATGCCCCAAAAGCCTTTTCAGCGAAAATTAATTCAAGCGAAAATAAAGTATTCCACAGAATAAGCGAAGGTCTGATTCCCATAGCTTGCCTGGATCTCGGGTCCCATTGAACCCACCCTACAAACTATGTTCATTATATTATTTTGCTTCTATGTTTTATGAGAAACAATATTTTGTTGGTGTGCTCAAAAAAATCATTGTGGTCACCTTCAAATTCAAGATGGCGTCCATGCTAACCGAGTCTACCCTAGCATTTTAGTGAATTGTTCGTCTCGTGGACCTGACGACTTTAGTAATTATAGAAGTACCAATTAGCCATTCGTCAACAATCAGTAGTCAAGAAAAATATAATGACAAAATCGATGGAATCGGATCATCATAAACCCCCATAAGGGAGTCAGACCAGGTGCACGTGAAGGGTAAGCATCTTCTGTGGGCATGTCGAACCCGCCCTGATGTTCCAGTCATGTCAGCGAAAATGTCAAAACAAGTTTACTAGACAAACAACCACACCAAACCACAAGAACAAACAGTTGTTTTGTATGATATTGGATAGTGGATCTGTTTTAATGATACATGTATAACATTGCTCACTTCAAATTGACAAATATATACCAAATTGTGTATAAACGATTTGCGTAATGAGCAGTTCTTAACTATATGCCGGGCCATGTTTTTCATAGTTGTTTTGGGACCCTATACATCGGGTATACTAGTATATACAGAGGATCGGAAATCTGTAATCAGCGAAACCAATGTCCTACATGTGTGTTATTATGTAAACTGTTGACTTTAGTAGTCCAGTGTATACAACGGCATGGAACCTTTGTCAAAAATAAAGGTGATGACACCGAAAGGAAGGTCCGTAAAGGACAGCCCCATCTGTTGACCTTGGTTGAAGCAGAGAACCCGCCATACTGATTGTTATAAGCAAATTAATACGCTTTTTGGTACGCCTCGGAGCCTTGCATGATGCGTAGCTGGTCGCAATATTACTGTTAATTTAATATCATCCCCTTTCTTTGTTGACAACTGTTTCATGCCGTTGTATACTTACACTACTGAAAGGTGAATGTACTGGTCAAGTTTCTTCCAACAGTTGTAAATAATATACGTGGAGGACCCTTGTTTCGCTGATTACAGATTTCTGATTTTCCGTAAATAGCGAAACGAAACTTTTACTAATTAAAGTCCCGATATTTTCGGCAAATGTTTTATCTAGTTACAACACGACTGAAATGTGAATTTACTGGTCAAGTTTCGACCGACAGTTGTAAATATTAAACGTGTAAGACCTTTGTTTTTTGATTATCTGTAATCAGCGAAATGAATCATTTACTGATAAATATTGTTATTTTTTGCAAATGTTTTATGTCATACTAGTATACACTACTAAAAAGTGAATATACAGGTCAAGTTTCGACCGACAGTTGTAAATATTGTACGTGTAAGACCTTTGTTTTTTAATTATCTGTAATTAGCGAAACGAACCATTTACGTAATAAATATTGTTATTTTCGGCAAATATTTTGTAAATATTGTACGTATAAAACCCATTTCCACTGATTACAGTTTAATTTTCATTATGTATGTTATCCCCGTTTCGTTTCGCTTCTTTGATTTACAGTAAGCCAAAATGTGCCAATGATTTCTTTAAATCTCGAAGGGCCTTTTAAAACTGTTTGTCCACTTTTTGGAGTGCATTTCTAATTACGGTGACAAAGCTGCCTGCTGCTGATCACAGTCCTTTGAGGGAATGTGTGCTGAATGAGTTCGATTTTCTCGTTCAGGATTCTTTATAGTGATTTATGTGGACAATTTTCTTGTTATCACTGGAATGGGAATAGTACAGTAGACTATGCTATTGCCTCCAATGATATTATTTCAGAATTTGAATACATTCATGTTAATAATTTCACTATATACTCTGATCATTGTCAAATATCCACATTACTCAAAGTTGGTTATTTGGAGCAAAAGAGTGACAGAAATAACAATTTAAACCTGCCTCCTTCAAAATGGAATAAGTTATCTGTTTTCAACTATCACATAAAACTTAAATCGACTGATACCCAATTTCTAATTAATAACTTTAATAAGACTAGTTACAGTAAAACACAGGAGAACATTAACCAAGCCACTTCTTCATTTAATGATATTACAACCATGCTGCCACTGGAATCTTTAAGAAGCAAACATTTGGAAATACAGACAAAACTAGAAATAAAAATCATAAATAGTTTGATAATGATTGTAAATTAACAAAAAACGATCTTGTAGCAACTGCAAAATTGATTAATAGATTTCCTTTTGACAATAATCTTAGGGCAACTTATTATGCAAAAAAGAAACAATATAAAAAACAAATTAAACTTAAAAAAAATATTAATCTAAAAACATATTAATACTTAAAACAATCTCCATGCGAATAAATCTAATGAGATGTTAAATATTCTAAATCTTATGAAGGAGTCTAATCAAGACAAGAAAACTATTAACCATGTCTCGGGCACTGAATGGCTTGACTACTATAATAATTTGATAACATGAACTTAAATACGTTTCATGATAGTGTTAAAAATTAATTATTATGATTTGAAAACAGTGTGCCACACAATGATATATTAGATACAGAAATTACGCAAAAAGACGTTGTTAATGCATTGAAAATACAAAACAACAAAAAAGCAGCAGGCTTGGATGGTTTATGTTTTGAACTTTTGAAATACAGTTGTAATTTCTTAATTGAACCTCTAGTTAAATTATTTAATTTATTTCATGAATCTTCAATATTTCCGGATATTTGGAATACCAGTATAATTACACATTTATATGACAAACAGGATCCCCAAAACTACAGAGGAATATCTGTATCTAGTTGTATTGGTAAACTGTTTTGTAGCATAATAAATTCTCGTCTTAATAACTATATTGAAGAGAACAAACTAATCTATAATAACCAAGCTGGTTTTAGAAAGGACCATCGTACTATTGATCATATTTTTGTCTTAAAAACTCTAATTTCAAAACAATTATGTAAGAAAAAGAGACTTTTTGTATGTTTTGTTGATTTTGCTAAAGCTTTTGATTCATATTGGAGAATAGGACTTTTTTACAACCTTCTTAAACATAATATCAATGGAAGGGTTTACTGTCTCATTAAAAATATGTACTCTAATACTAAAGCACATATAAAAATATCAAATTTAATTACCCAGAGTTTTGATGTTACAAAAGGGGTGAAACAAGGCTGTGTAATTAGTCCAGCATTATTTAATATTTTCATTAACGATTTTAAAGACCGCCTTGACAAAACAAACACAGAACCACCAACATTGAATAATACACCAGTAAATTCATTAATATATGCAGATGACATGGCTCTCATTTCCACTACATCAGATGGACTTCAACAAGCTTTGATGACTTGACATATGCTCAAATTGGCACTTAAAATAAACATATCTAAACTGAA